AATGGTAAGAGCAGCGCAAGACTACACTTCCGTTTAATCTATGTGTGTATTTATGTATGTGTATTTAATTATGGCAAAGCGCACTAGGGCTATCTGCCTAAGGCAAGGGATGCCTTTCGTGGAGGACTTTCTAAGGGAAACTGGCTTGTATATACGTTACACATGGGGAAAACCACGAAAACGCCCATGCAGCCAGCCCGTTCGCGAGATTCAAACCTCGGACCGAACTACCAGTGTTCAGCGTCTTTTACCGCTCGGCCGCTGGTGGGCCCCGTTTAATCTAACAAGTTGATTCAGATCCTACACCGGCAGGGTAATAATTCGGTTGCAAGAATGCGAAGCCGATATTCAACTTAACAGTTAGAAGAAATAATCACGTTACAATAGGTGAAAACTACGCTCCGACTAAACTTTCTACAACATCAATTTAAATATACTCGTTCACCCTAGCTAATTTACATCCTGGGGAAAAACCGCCAGGGAAATAAGAGAAGATAGAAAAGACTAAAGAATTAAAATAACTATTTGCAAAATTAAATGAATCCCTACAACCCTGCATATTTGAATGTCAAAACGTCCAAAATAAACAGTTAATTAGAAAATTTAACCTTGAAGATAATCTCAGATTTTTACATAAAATTTTGATGTCATTTCTACTAAATCAAATACAGAATTATGCCGGACGTTCGTAATAAAGAACTCCATGTACTAAAGTGGAATATTGCAAGGCATGGATGCTATAATGAAGGGGGATGTAATGCAAAGGATGATTATAAATAATTCAGCGGGTTTTAAAGCAGAAAATGTCGCATACCGAACAATGAATGATATATGAGAATAAAGGACAAGTAATGTTTTTGTTCATATCATCAAAAGGTTTCAGTAGTGCGGGTCCCTCTAGTCATACGACGCATGTCTATGCGGTGTTTGCTTTCTGCCCCCCCCCTGTGCTACTAATAGCTATAAACGCATTGGTAAATGCGATTCTTGAGCTTAATCAATGTTTCCAGCTGTGTAGCACATGAACAGAGTTCTTAACTTGCCCTCAAAGAGGAAATCATAAACCGTAGATCTCTCAATCGCGGAGGTTATGCGTTAAATCATCTTCTCCCAATCCAGCGATGCGGGATTTCCTCGCTAAAGTAGTCACGCGAATCTTAAAACTGAGATGTGATGTTGGACACGACATTGATATACGAGGTTTTAAAACTGGAATCATTTATAATACTTAGAATCATTTATAATCAGCATATAGCCTCATAATTTGGGGTGGTCGATGCAACGAAGCTGTCACTATAATCATTAAAGGAACATCGAATGTAACAGAACTCTAACAAGAATTGCGTATTTTAAATTATTTTATTTTAATAATAATGTTGCTAATTTAGATTTTAAATTATTTTATTGAATTGAAGAAAAAATCTGAAAGGTTTCAGATTTTGACTGTCGCCCAAAAGAGTTTGTTAAGGTTTTTTACGTTCTCGTTGAGCTCGCAATCTACCAATGCGGATAAAATGCATATCGGCGAGGTTTGCGTTTGTGTAGGAATGCAAACGGCTGGAACTCCCGCAGAGTAAATGACAATTTACATCAGCAGAAAGCTTTCATCTACCGCTTAACAGCATCTTGTACCACCTCAACGCACCATTTCCGCATACATATTTCATTACAAAATCTGCTTATTTTGGTCTCCTCTACTTGCTTATACATTTTTGACAGATATCTTTAATCATTCTGTATATATAGTAATGGAAGTTATAAATATTTCTACATTTTCTGCTTACATGCACCTCGACTTATGCAGGGAGCACAGAGTATAGAGTCACAGTGGATCATTTTTGATACAGTGATATTTTGAATCACTATATACATAGAGCTATAAATCACTGTATACATGCATATACATACAGATATACAAATATTTTGAATCACTGTATACACACATATAGATATTTTGAATCATTCTATACATCATTGACAATATTTTTAACAGATATTTTGAATCACTGTATATATACATATACATACAGATATTTTGGATCACTGTATACACACATATACATATTTTGAATCACTGTATACATCATTGACAGCGTTTTGACAGATATTTTGAATCACAGTATACTTAATATTCGAAATTATAAACATTTCTGCATTTTTTGTATACACTTCGGCTTATGCAGGGTGCACAGAGTATACAGTTACACTGGAACATTAGTTTTAATAACTATAAACCATTAACTGAAGTTAGTACTGTAATGTGTTAAATATTCTAGTACTAATATAGCATTGGCGCACTTCAGACAAGATTAATTTGATTGTATCTATAACAAGCTTAAAGCTAAAGCCAAGTAGCTATCATTTCACTACATTCTCTAACTATTTGTAACCCTAGACATGGCTTCTGATCGACCATTGATACGTCAGAAATGATAAACTAAGAAACACTGCTGTCTTGGCACAGCTTCAGACAGCATCTTAGAGAATAATGCCTTGAAGGCACAATGTTGTTATCGCTACTCTGACTCAGGTCTCCTTCGGTAGCTACTGCAACTTTGCAAGGCAATATCCGCTTTCATTTTTTTTTCTGTTGTTTTTATGTTCTTCTTTTATAGCTTAAAGGCATGCTTGACTTTTCTTTAAACATATCTCCTGTATTTATTGATTAATGTTTGGAAGTTTATGAAAATCAAGAAATGTTTCATAAATAATCTTTTCTATTACAACTACAAAATTGTTGAATTTTTCCCCACGTATTTCCTTTCTGTGCAAGTGGACGCATTGCTAGGATTGACTATTAAATGGTTATAACATAATAGTTACATAAAAGCAAACAACCCATACATAGCCATTAAGATAAGAACTATAGAAGAATGGGAGTTTGTTTTGGTTTTTTTTGTGATAGGCAAAGTGACAGAAGGATAAAAGGTCTCTCACTCCCTTCTGCAACCCTTCGTGTTGTAATGGTTAGCACATTCAGCGCCTATTCGAGAGGTCCAGGTTCGACTGCCTAGGCACCGTCTAAGCAGCGATATGAAAATACAATAAACCGTTGCCGAACGCAGATCTGTGGAAGGGATTTCTCATATGCGAGTTATTTTAAATTAATTAATTAATTGTTTCAGTTTAATTTGTCCAATGCTAAAATTTCCTTCATACGCGGTCTAACGTTCATTTATTAGTATTAGATGCTTGTTGGCATCAGATGTGGTCAGAAGTTATCAACAATTTATAACAACTACAAGCAAAAGAAATTATATAAATTACAAAAGCAACGAACAGCGAAGGATTTTCAGATATGTAGAAGTAGTCGAAAAATTAAACGAGAAAGGACGAATAACCTTTAGAAAGCAGAGCCTTTGCTAACCTGTATGCTTAAAATACCGAAAAGCTCGTCCCCTTCCATTACCTGCCCTGTCCATTTCCTCTGCTCCCCGTCCATTAACGCACAAAAAAGTGTCAGCATTTCAAATTATATGCTTTCTACTTCCTAACATTCTACTTCTTAACATTATATTTCCTAACAAAGAAGTTTCCAATAGCCTTTTAGGACAAGCTCTGTGCAATAAACCAATACAATACATATGGAAAAACTGCACCTGCTACTGTATACCTTAGGAGGAGGGAAGGAAACAACATTGCAATTTCAGCAGTTTCGGGCGGTTGTGGTCGTTTGAATGAAAGGCCGTCTCGGGCGTTTTGGTATTCAAAAGGATAAAGAACTGCATGACTTTATATCACCAGTCGGCAATCAAAGCAATCATAATAAAGAGAAGATAACTCTCCTTTAAATAAATTTATTGAACTGATTAAAAAAGGCACGGAAATGTCCGATTTTGTAATAGCTGTACATCCAAATGAAGAAAGAAGCAGGCAGTTTATTAAAGAAATTGAAGCTTTCTGCGCTCCTTACCGCAAAACTTTTATAGCATTGCGTCAGTCATTGCCGCAAGTCACCAGCGTTTTAAAAATATAATTACAACGCGTACTTATTAAGTAGTAATAAAAATGCTTGCAATCAATATTCGTTCCATCTTTTGCTTTTAATTATCACATTTGATTTGTTTAAGTTATACATACTTTCTTATAAATTGCATATACTGAATTAGACCTAACAAATGTTTTAGAAAGTAACTTATTACGGTTTTTTATTTAGAGAATTACGGTTTTGCCGCACACGCAGTGTATTAAAACTCTTTGGCCGGCCTGGGGTTTCACCAAGAAAGCCAAAATTTCCGAAAACTACCAAGAGGATGTAAAGACTTATTTTATTCTAACTAATTGTTTTTAGTTTCAGAAACTTTTCTTTCCCTTCTGATTTGAATATCCTACCAGAATGTAAATTTAATGACGTATATGCAAATCTAAGTGAGTGTGATTTCATTCATTTACTTTCCTGAATACAATTGCAACAAGAACACAGCACAGCGAAATAACGTCTAAGCAGCAACCGAGTTACAAGCGAAGTAAGCATTCATCCAACATGGCAGCTCACGAAGTCAAAGTTTTGTTTTACAAAGGTTTCAATTCTCAACAGTGTAGGTTCCGAAATAACTACGTCATCAGCATTACCGAAATTTTGTGGCATAGATTAATCTAGAAATGTTATTTTTATTTTTAGAATAAAGAGGAAATAGTCAAATTAAAAATGAGGAATAAAGAGACTGTTATCAAATTATTAACTTGGTTTAGATATTTTTTATCTTACATACATGTATGTACACTCTTTTGAAAAAACATCGAAGCAACAAGAAGGACTTTTGCGATTACAATGAAATTTGGTTTGCAAAATCATCTTGATCGAACATACAAATGATCAAAGTTTCAAGGCAAATGAACAGAAGTGATCATAGCGCGCATTTTTAGTGCACAATTCGCAAAGTACAAAACCAGTAAGAGGTGAAAAATTTATTTATTTTTTGTTTGTTTGTTTGTTTTGTTACTGCCGTTGTAATTCCGTAAAGAAGCAACTAAGGATGCCATGGCGATGATATCAAAGACCTTACGGACAAATAAATGACTTCAAAGGTGGTAGCATTGTAGGGTTGCATGAAGCTGGGTGGTCATACCGAACAATAGGCCGCCACCTGCAGCGTACAGATACTGCTGCGCAAAGATGTTGGCAGCAATGGTTATTACAAGGAAATTACCGCCGAAATGAAGGCTCTAGAAAGCCAAGGATCACAAATGTGAGGCAAGATAGGATGATTGTTCACCTGGACCGAACCGCCCCAACGGTATCATTGTCGACTATTCAACGCACTACAGCGACGTCTATACCTCCAGTGGTACCCTCCACCATCTCACGGCGCTAGTCTCTGATGCGGAGTTTCGTTCACAGAGGCTTTTAAGACGTTTGCCTTTGACCCCACAACATCGGCGGAGTCATCTGGAGTGGAGTCGCAGCCGAATCATCGTGGCTGTCATCATACTGGCATCGTATAGTGTTCAGCGATGAAGCCCGCTTCACTCTTGAAGCAGATGACCCACCGTATTCGTGTCTGGAGAGGACGGGGTCAGTGGTCATCACCTGTTATCATAAGAAATATTTAGTCATCCTCCTAATTTACACTCAAAGGTATGTTACTACCATCCTGCGGCCGGTTGCATTACCCTTCATGGCACGTCCTCCTGGGGCTATTTTCCAACAAGATCAAACTACGCCACATACCGTTCGCATATCTCTGGACTGCCTCCGTGCGGTTGACAATCTTGCTTGGCCAGCTTCTTACGGGCCCACCGCCGGCCAAGAGGTAGAATCGCTGAGCACTTGTAGTTCGGCCCGAGTTTCGAATGCCGCGAACACGGCTGGCTGCAAGAGCGTTTTCGTGGGTTTTCCCTATTTGTAACGTGTATACGAGCAAGTTTCTCATAGAAAGTCATTCGCGAAAGTAGCCCTCCCCCTTAGACAGATAGCCCTCGAAGCTTTGCCGTAAACACATACACCAAACCAAACCAGTTTCCTACGACACGATGTTAACGACCACTTTTCATATATGTTTAGTTTTTTTGTGTTTAATTACCCACATTTATAATTAATTTTAATAATTTTTACTTAAGCTTTGATTAATACATACTATTTACACTATCACATTCCTGCTCTATAAGCCTTCTTGCTGATTTTGTTCACTGCGGGATATGATGAGTCGGATCTCATGCAAGTGCATGACACGTGCGACGCTTGATTTTGTTCACTGTGGCTTGTAAAATATCTAATAATTGTTTCTTTATCTCCAAGACGTGTTTCAATGCCGGAGCAGAGCAACGACTACAGGGTGGTGGTTTTCGGCGCTGGCGGCGTCGGAAAAAGCTCCCTGGTGCTTCGGTTTGTCAGAGGAACTTTCAGGGAGTCTTATATACCCACCATCGAAGATACATATCGGCAGGTAAGCTAATTCTTTCGATTATACTTGCTTAAACCGCAATGTTGGTTTCGTTTTCGTAATCGCTTCTCAAATCAATGCCTTAATGCGAAGAGTACTACGAATTTTTGGAATAAATCACGCCGCAGAATGAATACATATTTTATAGAAAACTATGGTGATACATGATAACCAATCAAAATATTAAAGTCAGCTGTCTAATAAGATATAGTTCCTCCTTACCAGAGAAAAGATCGTATCCAACAAAGCATATATAATATATATTTAAGAGATGTTGGTAGGTGCGTTTTGCTATTTTTTACCATAAGTGCAACAAACGGGCATTTAAATCTCAGTTCTCATATACGTGGTTAACGTGTTGCTGATTGTGAGTTTTCTCCAGCTCAAATCACAAATTCTCCATTGAATTCATGGCTGTCAAATATGAAGATCATTGTAAATTCCTCATCATGTTATTTACACCATTCTCTACACTTCATGAAAGGATATGGAGCATTAGCTTGTCGTAAAACGTCATTTTCGCTACGTAGAGCAGTAATATTATTGCTCAAAATAAAGTTCACAAATGGCCCTTTAACAGGACGTACATAAAAGGCCTCCATTTGGGCTTGAACACAAGAATACTAAGAAATAAAACTTAACTAAAATGATATAGCTGAAGCTATCAAAATTTCTACTGGAGTAGGCTCCTTAAACGCTAACTAAACGGCGAAGCTAACTAGGACCCGAAATACGGCCGAGCGTAGTAATAGCTTAGAGAGAGTGTAGCCAAAATGCGAACGCGCGCTAGTCAGAATCTCTGGCTCTCTAACAAAGGCAGTGAAACTTCGACTTCTGTTCTTCCTTCATTTGCATTTAACCGCGATTCTGAAAACGCATTCTGGTAGGAAATCGTAGGCTGAAATTAGGAACGATAGGAAAGTGGCTTTAAGTATAAGTAACTGTTAACAACTTAGGAAAAACCTTACAAATCTATTGAGTACGTGCGGCATGGGGACACTCTACATATGCAGCCAGCCGGAAGTCCTATAGAGAGGTTGATGGTAGGGGAAGAAGGGTTCGAGACCCTCGAATCCGTTACCCTGGGGTTACTGTCCATCAAGATGGAGGGCGGAACTGAGCAAAGTCGTACTGTCATATGTGGTGCTCAAGGTTCTTGCCAACAACAGGTGCAATCTTGCTGTCCTTGTCACAATGTATTTTCTGGGCTTGCTCTGATGTTACTGTCAGACAAGTGAGATAAGTCACAACAGTAAATTAGAATATATTTGCAAATAAGATGTGTCTTGCAGGAGGATAAAGCATTATATGAGTATAAGAACTACTCATCCCTCTGCTAATATTTAATCAATTTCTGTTCCTGAAGTGATAAATTCCAATTTAACAAACTTTCATCAAAAACCCTATTGAAAAAACAAATCTCGAAAAACGCTAACGCTAAACCTAAACGAGTAGTTTATTATAAAACAATGAGTATTCAGATAAAAGAGATATTTTCAACGTTTTTGACAGCGTGGCTCATTTTCGCGGATTCCATTTGCCTGACATTTTTAAACTGCAGATATTTAATGACAGCTTCTCCTTCAAACGGGGAATTAGAAAATAAATTTAAATAATCAGTTTAATCAGTCAGAATTTAAAAGAAAAATGGACCCCCGATACATAAGGAAATTAAAACAAAATTTAAAGTGCGATTTGGGACAACACCTTTCACAAAGAAAACAATGTAGATAAATTAAATTCATTTCTGATGGTTGATTTTCTGGATTATAAACGAAATTCAATCCCTGATATACTTGAGAAAAGCTGTATAAAATTTCAGATATCTTAAATATTTTATCAGTAGGAAATCTGAGTTTGCCTTTTCGAAAAAGGAAATTATCGGGTCAGTCCATAAAGTTTGTGCGCATTAAGAGTATGCGTGGAATTCACTATGACGCATTTACTGAAAAAATACAATTTTGAACCTGTTGAAACTTGTCATCGTTTGACTAACATATTATTCAGTTCATCACCAAGTTTCGTAAATATCGAACGCATTTTAGTACGCATAGAAGATGAATATAGATAATCGAACAAACGTTCGTGCTACATTTGTTTATTTCGTGGGGTGAATCGCAGGTTTGCAGCAATAAAATTAATAGTGTACTGGTGAACACACTATTATGTAAGGACTGCCCAGAATGGTTTAAAAAATTTAAAGTTTGAAACAGCAGCATCGACGATGAACCCCGGTAGACGTTTGGACTGTTAAACAAATCAAACGATTAATTCCGAAGTTATAGTGAACAACTTTGCCGTCTAAACTCGAATGGCAAAACAACGCCACGATGAGTGATATCAAGAAATGTTGTTTCATCATGATAACACTCGGCTCGACAACCAGCAAAAAATAGTAAATTAATCGGGAGCTTGCCACATCTTGCTTACTCCCAATAGCCTAGTGATTTTCACTTATTGTGCCTTACAAAATTTTTTACTGGAAAAAAAAATCTAAACAGGATGTACATATAACTTTCACGTTTTTTGCATCAAACAAGTCTTTACAGCAATGGCATAAAAGCTGCCTGTAGTGGTTGAGACATTGCAGAATGAGAAAACATATACTTGATTAAAATGTTAAATTGTGTTTTTTATATTATTTAAAAATTTACCAAAAAATGCGCACGAATTTATGGACTGCCCAATATGTTTCAGTAAGCCCAGTGCAAAACAAATGACGTATATATCATCTTTATCGCATTAATGGTAGTTTGGTTATTCAACGGGAAAAAATACGCCATCGGTACGCCACAGAAATATTGAAATTAAAAAATGATTTCAAGGACTTCCGTCCTTCGTTGCTTCCGCTGTAGTGACGTAGTCAGTTGTAGATTCTGTTTATGAAGGAAGTTTCGTATATTTGTTTTATTTTTAGCTTGAAACTAATAGTTCCGGTAATATTTTAACCTTTAACTGGTGTGTTTAATTGTTAACCTTTTAAACTGATATGACGTGTCCTTCAGAGTGCACAAAACAAAATTATACTTTTTGTAATAATTTTCAAATGTATAAAACCATAATTTATCGAAATTATTAATGTTGACAAAAGAAAAAAATAAAGATAAAAAATACTAAATAGATTCATTGGAGAAGATACAGTTATGTATATATATTTATATCTTTTGGACGTTACGAAGCGCTAATCGTAAGCTTTTTCTCATTCGTAAAATATGTATTAACTGAATCCAAGACTTTTTCAAAAACAGCTTCAAAGTGAGAAATGTATTTAACAATCAAATTCCGTAATAAATTACATTCTGAATTTGCTTCATTGAGTTTTATCTTTTATGCTGAATGCCACTAAATATAAGTAGCAGTGAAAGATTATTTAAAAAATGAATTTAATTAAATCTAAAGGATGTTAGTGTTTCATATAATTAGTATAAAAACTCTGTAACTATACTTCGTGATAAATTTTGTTTGCATGTCAACTGTAGAGCGAGTAAGCATTAAGAGAACTGTTAGAGTGTAAGGTTTATCTTAATTAAGAAGTTACTTTTATGTTTTAGTGGTTATAGTGGTTAGAAGAACCGACTGCGATACCAAAGGGCCCGGGTTAGAGTCTCGGAGAAGGCATGGTTGTAACGTTCCGTCCCTCCATATTTAATTTAATTTAAGGCCACTGAGCTGACTTCCGACCTTAGATGATATACCAAACGGAATACATGAGCTCAGCGGAGATATCTACCACTAGCAGTCTCCACATGCCAAGGTAGGGGCTGGCTGATCAATGGCATTGATTATCATTTTTCAATGTTTATACAGAGTCAGTTACATATACAGATTACATTCGAATTTTGATATGTATACAAAGTAATTTTAACAATCTGTTTCAATATAAATCTGTGTACAATATACTAACAATTGTGATATTTGGCTATAGAACAATTTTGAAATCTTTCTATAAATATTATACAATTACTACAAATGACATTTCACAGTTATTGAAATACATAATTGAAGCTATGTTACTAATAAATATACTTATAGAGAATATTACTTAAACTTAATTTTGATATTTACAGTATGCAAATATTACAGTATAATTTTACAATATAACATACAAATATTACAATATAAAATTACAATATGTAAATACCAAACAATAAAAAATTATAATATAATGTTACTATTTAGAGTACACAATTACTACAATATACAATTGCTTAATTTTGCTTAATTAATACAATTACAATTGCTGTACTATTCCTATACAATAAATTTCAAGTGTTATATACTTTAAATATTTGTGTCTTTACATAATATGTTTACAATAAACGATAATATTAACACATAATTTATTAATAAATAATAGAAATAGAGTAACTAATAGATTAGTACTATAATAAAAAGTTCATTAATATAAATTAATATAGGAATAAATATAAGAGTAATTAACAAATATAAGAATAGGTATTATAACATTTCTACTGTTAGCCTCTTTGGTCTTCGTGTGAGAGTTCAAATTGACACAGATGTTATAAACGTTGAGTAATTTGTTCTTGTTTATGTTATTTGAAAGGATCTTTTTTGTCCAATAAGACCAGTATTGGTTGAGTGGTTTATTAAGATGGAATTTCTTAGTTAATGTGCAATAAAATGCGTAGTGATTTGGAGTCCCAGTCATTCCACAAATGCAATTGTCGTTATCTCTTAGACTAAATCTAAAGAGATATGACGGATAAGGACCATGCCCTGTCAAAAAGGTTGTAAGAGCTAGAGCTCCCGTGATAAGCTGTCTAGTCACTTTAGATATAAATTTAAAGGTTCTACGACCTGTAGAAGAGGAAAACCACCGTTGCTGCCGATGATTTATCAAGTCTTTCATGGTTATTCTTTTAAGGAAGGAGTGCGGAAGAGGAAAAGGAGATTTTGGGAGATCAATCTCCATTGCTGTTTCTTTTGCATTGGAATCAGCCAACTGTGCCCCTGTGAGCCGGTGTCCATAAGAGAAGAGGGCG